CACAACACATTTACACGTGAAGCAATATGTTTCACAACTAAATGGGATCAGCTGCTCATCAATGGTGACATTAGACCCAGGGTTGTAAAACAGGGGAGGTGGTGCACACACTTATCCCACACTGTCCTGATGGCAGCTAACTTGTCTCTCTGCCGTCGAGCTGGTCTGTCGTCTCGGTTATCAAAACGGATAATCCTGGAAATTTTTGTGGAAGTTTTCCAGAGACATTGATGCACGGAAAGGTTCTTGCCAGTTTCTGCATCCCACAGGGATTCTGTGGATTCCCCTTTGGACCTGAAAACTCCTGCAAGATGAATTTGGTCCATCTCCTTCCACCTCTCTCCAAAAACACACCTTCCTTCTAGATTACTGCAATCCAGAATAATTTTCTGGATGGAATCTGGGATGAAAAGCTCAAATGAAGACTTGATGTTCTGCACATGAGAAACTGTCAGCCGTGTTGGCCCTGGCTTATCACAGTAGCAGCTCTGCAGGGTGGCTCATTTCTTGGGCAAGAAGACCATCCAATTTCACCAGTTATTGACATCCATATTTCTTCACTTGCTGTCTGGTGGGCTTGTTCTGGTCCTGGAGCTGGCTGCTGATGGGGTACTCGTCTTTGTTTTGTTACTAAATGGTGTTCAACCTCCTCCTCTTCTTCAAAGTCACTGTCAGACTCTGAATTTTTAGAAATGTCAAATATTCTGAAACCTCTTTGTCAACATCATCATCCAAAGCCCCTCTGTCTTCCAAAATCAATTGGATGGCCCTCGCAGCAGATAATCTTTTGCCATCTTTGCCAGTGTGGTTCTGATCAAGTCTTGTTTATAGTATTATGCCCCTAATTTGCAAGTGGGACAGGGTATCAGAAAATAAAATTTGGATCCCTCAAAAAAGAGGGTAAAATGTGTGGGAATGTAAGTAATGTAAGACAGGGATCGTCCCTGTCCTTGCTAACTTACACTGGCTTCCCATCAAATATCATATTGATTTTAAAATCCTTTTGCCCACTGTTAAACATTTAAATAACTTAAAACTTCAAATAACCCTAGCTACTTGATCTCCTTGACCTGTATAACCCAAAGTTCTTCCAGCCAACTGCTCTTAATGCAACCAAGGTCTGGTTTAAAAGCCTTTGCTATTGCCGCTCCTAGACTCTGGAATAATCTCCTAGGAATAATCTCCTAGTTGATATCCGTACATCGGAATATCAATCATTCAATTTGTTTCCCGTTCTGCCCGCATTGCTGTGCTATTGTGAAGCATTGTGATGTATGCTAGTCTTTTAAAATGTGCTATAGAAATAAACTTTAATTGATTGACATGTACTTTATCTTTAAACCTACTGTATGGCTCTCATGGAATTACATTTTTAAAAGATGGCGTTCACGGCTCTCTCAGCCAAAAAAGGTACCCGACCCCTGTCTTAGAGTGATCATAATGATTACAGTCATGTGCACTGAATACACTGTGATTATATTGAAAATATCCACTACTTATAATGACACAGCAAGGTCGTGTGTCCACTGTGCAGCTGTGTTGATATAATGAGTGAATGATTTGATCCTTTCACTGCCTGCTGTCTTTCCTCGACTCCTGAGCAAAGATAAAGAGTCAGTTCAGACCTGCAGTTGGTCCTCGTGGTGTTTGAACTTGAATTCAGCCTGATTTGTTTTTCATGTCTTCTCCTCCATCATCAGTT